GAGTTGAGGGAAGCAATACAGAATAAGGATGCAATGAAGAGATGAAGTCCTCAACTGAGGGATGAACTCCTTGATAGAGGGGATGAAGTCCACGCACCAAAGGGAAATACAGGTGCTAATGGATGAGGTAGCAAAAGCTACACACAAGATCATGGATTTACGATTCGACTAGAGGAGACAGAGAACCATATCAGTAATCTCGAAGACAACCAGGCAGACTTCTGCAAAGAGAGAGACAGTTAAATAAGAGAATAAAAGAGGCAAAAGATAACCTGAGATCAATGACAGGTGCTATGAAGAAGAACAATATTCTAACAGTTGGTCTACTGAAGCAGGACGCTATGAATAAACCAACAGCTAAAATAGCAAGGGAATTCCTGGAAGCAAACTTTCCCACCTTAATTTATGAGAATCAGACATTCATACAGAGAGCAGAGAGGACACCAACTGGACTAAACTCCAAGAAGAACTCACCAAGGTATATAATAGTTAAAATATCCAACTTTGAGGAAAACTAGAAAATTTTAAGAGCAGCAAGAGAAAGGAAGACAGTCACATACAAGGGTGCACAGGTAAGACTATGCTCAGACCTATCAGCAGAAACCATGAAGAGGGAGAGAGACTGGAGTAATATCTTACCTCGCCCCATGCACAAGAATAAACTCAAGGTGGATCACAGACCTAAAAGTAAAACTCTAAACCATCAGCACCATCAATGAAGGAATTGGGACTAATCTAAGATCACTGGCCCATGGAATACATAGACTCACTGCAATAGGGAAGGGTACACACACAGGTGAACTGGAAATTGGCTAGTGGAATTTAATAAGAATAAAACATCTGTGCACATCGAAAGACTTCACCAAGAGGGTAACAAGGCAACCCACAGACTGAGAGAGGATTTTTAGCAATGACACACCGGCCAAAGGGCTTATTACTAAAATCTACAATACCCTTCTGCCTGCAAAAAGAGGAAAACAGATAAACCCCTGAAGAACTGAAAGGAAATTTCACCAGGGAGGAGACCCACATGGCCAATACACACGTGAGAAAGTGCTCCTAATCATTAGCCATAAGAGAAATGCAAATTAAAACAACCATGAGATACCATTTAACACCCTTGAGGTTAGCCCAAATCAGAAAATCAGAGAGCAACAAATGTTGGAGGGGATGTGGCAAAATAGGAACTCTCCTCCACTGCTGGTGGTCGTGTGTCAGGGTACCCTCCCTAACACATCGTCACAGGTCCAGTAGGTGCAACTGCACAGCGATAATAAGTAAAGATTATAGTAAAGTTATAGAGAGCATGAAAGATAGAAGAGAGATTGAAATAATGGAGTCAGACACATTTCATGGTAGCATGCTCACCTCTGCCTCACTTGGTGGTCCACGCGGAGAGAGAGAGATATTTATTGTTAACCAAGGCTTTAATATTCTCTGGGGATGTGCAAGCCCCCTAATTACAGGTGAGGACATATATCACAGGGAAGGGTTGTGCTATAGGTAATACAGTAATGGGAGGGGGTGATCTAGGGGTGTCCACGCAATAGGAAGAGGAGGGATTGGGGTACACATGTGACAAGATGGGTGCATCCCAGATTCAAGATGGCAGCCTAACTGTGGATGTCACTGAGCCGGTTTGACCTGTTCTCTGGCTCACCATAGAAACCATTATCAGTAGGGTGTAAACCCCACCTACAGGAACCAAACTAATGGTCACAAGCCTTTAGGGAGAAGTAGCCCATTGTCATTAACAGCAGGGAGCAGGGCCTCCCTGTGGTGGGACCAGACAGTAGTCTGGCAACTGACTGCCTTCAGGGAGGTAACTTGACAATCATTTACCATTAGCTACAAGCAGTGTCTTAAGTCTAACATATTTGGGGGAGATGACTTGGGAGAAACCTTTCTGTTTCCCACAGTCGTGTAGCCACTGTGGAAAGCAATCCGGTGCTATTTAAAGAAAGTGGAAATAAATCTACCTTATGACCCAGCTATCCCTCTACTGGGCATATACCCAGAAGAGGTAAGAAAGCAAACATGACTAATCAGCTGTGCCCCATTGTTTATTGTGGTGCAATTCACAGTGGAAAAGAGTTGGAAACAATCTAAATTTCCATCGATAAATGAGTGAATTAGTAAACCCTGGCACATAAACACAATGGAGTACTACACATCACAAAAAGCACAGACAATCACATAAAACACATCATTTCATGGGAAAAGCTGGAGGAAATTACGCTAAGCGAGGTCAGCCAGTCACAAAAGGACAATTATAACATGAGGCCCCTGAGGTAAGTACAATCAGCACAGCAGGAATAGAAGAAAAGATACTTATTTCACAATATATGGGAGGAAGCCAGACCAAACCCTAGGAGGTACATGTGAATCCAGCATAAAGAAGGGGAAAGGAGGGAAGGAAGAGGGAGAAAAGGTGTGTGTGTGTGTGGGGGGGGGGTGATGG